AGCTAGCACTCCAAAACAGTCCAGTGGAGCCTGAGTGGTGGGTGTTGCCTTCTGACACACCTCTGGTGATGTCAGGGGGTGTGGCATATGTAAATGAGTTATGCTAATGAGCTCCTGCACCTCTCTTTCTACGAAATGACCCCTGGTTGCCAGTTTTGGGCTGGGAAATACCTGGAGGTTTGGGGGGTGGAGCCTGGGGTGGGCGGGGTTTGGGAAGGGGAGGGACCTCAACATGGTATAGTGCAGGTTGCTTAACAACGTCAAAGCCACATAGAATGAACATCAGATGTGTGAGAGCTGCAAGACACAAACAGGCATCACACGTTTTTACTGGGAAATATGCAGAGATGTGCTTTTTATCAACATCAAATGAGACTGCCCAAAGTAATAACAAAAGGGGTAAAAGCAGATATCGATAATGGTATTTATTTGTCCAATGATATTTGTTTGCTAATGATATTTCGCTTCCCCAGCCGCCCTGCCGGGAGCCGCACAATGTGTGTGAAAGAGCCGCATGTGGCTCCCGAGCCACAGTTTGGCCACCCCTGGGCTAGTGCCATAGAGCCCACCCTCCAAAACAGCCGTTTTCTCCCAAGGGAACTGATCTTTTAAAAATTTTTTTTAAAAAAGATCAAAAAATTCAAAAGCATTAGAAAATTTCAGAGACATTCCCGAGGGAAACCAAACATTAAAAATAATAATAATACTCATTAGCCAATTAGAAGTTAACATTAAGGTAAAACTAAAATTACAGGAATAAAAAGTATACCCTAAATCTAAACCAGTAACAATAAAAAAAAAATCAAATATAACTCTTTAAGAGAACTGATCTTGATTGTCTGGAGATCTGTAATAGCGAGCGAGTACCAGGTGCCGCCTGGAGGCTGGCAACTCAGGGGAAGGGGAGAGAGAGAGAGACAGAGAGAGAGAAAGATGGGTTGCGATGTTCCCTCTAAGCTATGGAGTCTTGTGAGCAAAAATTCTACTTTGTGAGCTCCCGGCATTAAAGTCATGAGCAGGTAATTTCGCTACTGCATAAATTAGTTTGCTCTGGAGCCCTCCTTCCTGAGCTAAGGCAAAAATCTGTGAGCCAGAGGCTAAAAAACTGTGAGCTAGCTCACACTAACTCAGCTTAGAGGGAACACTGGTTACTAACCTCCAGGCAGGGCCTGGAGATCTCCCAGAAGTACACTGATATCCAGACACATAGATCAGTTCCTCTGGACAAAATGGCTGTTTTGGAGGGTGGAGTCTCTGACATTGTCACCCACTGAGGTCCGTCTCCAAACCCTCTCCTCCCCAGGCTCCACACCCTACGTCTCTAGGAATCCATAGGGTTGCCAGGTCCCTTACCTCTGCCAGCGGGGGGCCTTTGAGGGGTGTTCCGGGAGGTGGGGGGGGACATTGCGCAATGTCCCTGACATGATGACATCACCCAGAAGTGCCGTCATCGTGCCGGAAACGTTGCGCAGGGACGCTCCGGTATTTGGGAGAAACGATGGTCTTTTGCCCTCAAAACCATAGAGTTTGCCCAAATACCAGAGCGTCCCTCGCACGTTTCTGGCGTGATGACATCAGTCCCCAGTGACGTCGTCACATCGGGGGCGGTACTTCCGGAAGTAGCCCAAAAATGTCATTTAGCGGTGGGATTTCCCCCCACTGACCAGCTGGCTGGCAACGGGAAAGCCCGCTCCAAATTGGGGGGTCCCCCTCCTGGAACGGGGGGGGGCTGGGACCCCCCAGGAATCCCCCAAGCTGGAGTTGGCAGCCCGAGCTGCAAGAGCAGCAGTTATGGCAAGGTCCCTTAAAAGTCATTGTTTTCTGAGAAGCACCCCCCCCCAGTTCAGAGACAAAATTGCACAGGGGTTTTACCAAGGAGAGGTACCCGAAAAAACAGGAAACAACCCCCCCCCCCAGCACTCCAGTGGATGAGAAACAGAAGACAAACCAGATATGCCGTCCAGTTTCATTTCTTTCCGCTTACATACATACAGAAAGGGAAACAAAAGCAGTCGTCACTTTTTTCCTGATGTTGTCCTCCCCAAACTTGCACATGATAGATCAGGGGTCTCCAACGTGGTGCCCGTGACACCTTTTCTGGAAGTGGGTGGTGGGGCCAGGTAGGGCTTTTGCCCAGCAAAGCTCCCGATTGACTCTTGGAGATTTGATTGGCTCTG